CTTCTTGGTTGACGTGGCGGTACTAGCAAGAACTCGGAGTTGAACCTAAAACTTCACCAAAAAGGAGCCAGGATATGAATTCCGGAAAAATGGTTGGTATCAGAGACCCTTCTCCTTAGCGTGAACCAAAGTGTCCACAATTTTAGGGGCCCGGAGGCGTTGCCGTGCGGGTCCGCCGCCTGCATTGTTCCAGTCCAGCCGGAAATGGAAGCATCACTAGCAACTGCAATTCCAGGAGTTGCCCCTCTGAAAACCGCGCCCCACCCAGCGGCCATCAGGCCAAAACCCCCTGGTTTGTTGAAAGCAAGGGTTGAGTGCCCCGTGCAAGAAGCCTAGCTGACAAAACAAAAACTATGCGCAGGCCATACCTTTAAAGATTATACGTGTATGTGCGTACATATGCATTTTGATTGTTTAAACAAAAAATAAATGAGAAATACATAAAGACATATATATATATATAAACATGCAAATCAATGTATATATACATATTTCTATATATACACACATACGCATTGTGTGTATATTCTCAACCCCACGTGATCTACCTTTTTCTGCCATCTGTACTGCAAAACACTTGTATGTCACAACGTGCCATGTTTCACCCGCATGCCCACCAAGTCAGCGGCACCTCTATCCGTGTTATGCTACATCTACAATTCCAAAACGAGGGCCTCCGGCCAAATAAAGTCTCTCAATCTAAGTCCTGAGAACCAGCTTGGAAAGGATTTCAGATTCAAACTCCATTGCAAACAGGAGGTCATTACACACATTAACCCCCTTCCCAATTCAAGTCTACTTGGACTATCATGCAACTCGAGTCATATGTATGTGGAAAGGAATGCATTGTCCCCTTTTCCAAAAATTCAAATTCTATTTGGGTCTTAACTCAAGTCCTCTTTGGCATACGCCGAAGGGCCTTGTAAGGAGCCTGGAGAGGAGCTTTTTAAGGAGCTTTTCACCCGCCGGTCATTGCCTATAATTACTGCCAGTGTTCTGTTCCATCTGCAAATTTAGTTCAACTCCATCCTATTCCAAAATGAAACTTAAAAAAATCCACCGTCATTGGCCCCGAATCATATCAAATTAGATTTAACCGAATTCAGTTTGGAAATGCTTAGTTGAAGCTCTAAAATGAAATTGACATTCCGGTGGAAATGATTAACTATGAAATTCAACTCAAACAATGCGCTGATATGAAAACCATGGTTAGAAGGAAATCTTAAATTAGCGTTCTGTAAGTTCTATCTAACTGACTGTTTTGATCATTTCTCTTCGACGTCTTAAGAAGGATTTGCACAAGGGTAAGGAGCCTTCAACAGGAGCTTTGTACGGATCTTTAATATCAGCCCTTCAAGGGAGCCTTACAGTGAGCCTTGTAAGGAGCTTTATCAGGAGCTTTGTAAGGAGCCGTGTAAGGATCTCTACCAGGAGCCGTATAAGGCCTGAGGCAACAATTTAAAGTCAGCTGTTGAAGTCTGCTTTAAAATCAAAATTGTATTTCTTATTGAACTAATATCTGTTTAATCACAGTATGCATATCGAAGCAAGGCGTATGCATTCATAATACAGTCACACTTCAGTAAGACATAAGGGAGCAAATCTCAACAAACCTCACAAAGCTTGACGCTAATACCCACAAGCCAAAGAATACTGTGTTTTGCTGGTTTCCTGTTCGTTTCAAACACACAAAACCCCAGACTTTGTTTGAGAGGGGGGAATGCAAAACCAGGAAAATGTTAGGGAAAGCCAAAAAACAGTTCGAAAAACAAAAGCACATAAAACTAGCAACTCTAGGATAGAATCTGCGGGCTCAGCCCCAACTTTGTTTTTTCGTTCTCGCGTTGTTGTTTTGTCTTTGTTGTTTCCCCTCAGTTTGGTTGACATTATCCCTCGCCGAAAAAAAGCCGGGTCTTCTTGTTTTCAGAAGACCAGATGTGTACAAATCAAGGCGGTGGTAGTCAAAGCGGTGATGGTCACGCCTTGTCCGCAGTTGCTGCAGGCAGTGGTGGCGGCTGCGCTGGCGGTCGTGCTTTCACCGGTGCCTGCGCTGGCGGTGCTGGTGCTGGCTGCGCTGGCGGTGGTGCCCGTCGCAGCTGCGGTGGTGGTGGTGGTGGTGGTGGCGGTGGTGGTGGCGCTGGTGCTGGTGGTGGTGGTGGTGGTGGTGGTGCTGATGGTGGTGGTGGCGGTGGTGGCGGAGTTGCTTCCGCCGCTACCTTGGGCCAACAAGAAAGGAGTTCGGCCGGGATTGGGCAGACTGGCTTCTTGCGAGGGATGGGTTGGCGTTTTGGTTGGGCAAGTTGGGGGCTGGGAACTGGCAAGGGATCGGAGTTGAGCCTAAGGCTTCGCCAAGACATCCTTGGTCAACAGGGGCCCCTCCCCCGCGGCTGGTTGCATCACGTTGTTTAACTTAGCATGAGCCGAGGTGTCGAGAATTTCAAGGGCCCGGGTTGGATGTTTGACGCAAGAAGCCTATGTTGACAAACAAGCTTTGGGGGCCATACGTATACACACATGTGCATTTGTGACTGCGTATATATAAATATACACATATCTATAGACAATGCGCTCACCCCCCCCTCCATTACTTGTTTGTGCCATCTGCGCCATCTGCTGGCACAAATCAGCTGTGTGTCACAATGTGCCATGTTGCATCTGCAAGCCAAACAAGTGAGTGTCACCTCTGTCCGCGTCATGTCACAACTTCATTGAGAACAAATCCGACATTGAAGAATGACACAACTCCAACCATCTATCGAAACTTTTTGGACTTCTCATTCACGATAGAAAAGCTACCTCATTTGTTCTTCTTACAGCCTATTCATTTCATTTGAATTCAAGTGCCTTTTTGCAAAAAGCCCTTGAGAGGAGTTTTAGTCGCCTACACGTAGTCCAAATAGTTCATGCCTGTGTTCAGTTCCATCTGCAAAATGCCAACCCCACTCTATTTCAGAGTTCTACTCATCTCAAATTGGTATCAACCGGAACTTTTTGGACAAGGAAATCGCATTCAACCTTCAGATTAGAACTGATATTATGATTGAACTATTAGTTCACTATAGTTTGATTAAAGCAAAGTATTCGTGTGACAACCAGAACACCATGGTTAGAGAGGAACTCCCCTGTTCATACCTGAGCGGTTTATTAGATTCTGTTCAACATTGTTTAGTAACCAAACAAACAAAAATTGGAACACGGGGCCTTGACCGGATCGATTGAAAATGGGTTCAAGGGAGCTTTACAGTGAGCCTTGTAAGGAGCTTTCTGAGGGGGTTTATAACCTTGTGAAAGTCGAGATTGTAATTCAACTCTGTCCTTATTGAATCCCCTATTCAGCTTCTAGTATCTGTTTAATCAAAGTATTTGGAAAGAGGCCCGAATCTAGACTGAGGTCGCTGACGTGCTCCACCTTCGCTGTGCCTCCGCTCCGCCTTCGCTGCTCCTGCGCTGCGCCTTCGCTGCGCCTTTGCTCCGTCTCCGCTCCGCCTCTGCTCCGCCATCGCTGCGCCTCCGCTCCGGCCTCGCTCCGCTTCCGAAGCAGCACGGCCAGGGGCGGCAGCAGGTGGGGCAAGAACGTGGAGCTCGGGGGCCTTGCTCAACCCGTGGCGCAAGTGGCGGCGTGGCGGCTTGGAAGACCCGGACACGTCAGGCGGCTCCAGGTGCGTGGTGAGAGAAAAGACCAATCGGCACTTGCAACTCAGCCAACGTGCTCAGCAAAAGTTGTCAATACATGAGCACAAGTGGGCAAATCTCAACAAACACAAAACTCGATGACTTTTGCCAACAAACCAGAAATACTCGGTGCTTTGTTGGTTCTCCGACAAAACACAATTTGTTTAAGTTTTTGGGTGGGAGAATTTGATGCAAAGAAGGAAAAAAACTGAGGGGAGAACAAAATCAAAACACAGGTCTCTCGCTTCATCCCCAAACTCTGTTTTTCTGTGAAACCTCTACGGGGTTCCAACTTCAAGTCAAAAAGGGGGTGGGTGAGACTCAGATTTCCAGCCAGGCGCTGTTGCAGGCTGCTGCACCAAAACGGTTGCAGGCAGGGAGCTGCTGCAGGGTGCTGCTGCCGACCGAGACTCAGAGCTGCGCAGGGCGCCAATGCAGGGCGCTGCTGCAGGCAGGAGTTGCACAGGGTGCCGTTGCAGGGTGCTGCTGAAGGCAAGGTGTTGATGCAGGGAGCTGCTGCAGGACGACACTCAGAGTTGCCCAGGGTGCAATATTCTCTATGCAGGCTTTGGCAAACGTTTGGGGATGAAACCAGAGAGTCTCCCCAGAGATTGTCATTTTGTGTGTTCTTGTTCTTTGTTTTGACTCTTGTGCTGCGTGTGATTTACTGGTTTACTATGAAATGAGTAATTTCTTTATTGAATGCAATTGCATGTGTTAGGAAGAGTCAAATCGAGCTTACATATGGTGTACGTAGTTCTTGCGCATGTCCAAGCAATTGGAGAAGAACCGTGCTTGTGTTTTCACCGCGAAAGCGTAGAACACTATACACCTGCATGTTCTTTGGCATGCCCTGCTCAACGTGGAATGCCCTCAGACCGGAGACCAGAATCCGGTCATGGGTTTTGCGCATACACGTTCATAATTGTGCATCAGACACATCATGAGTTTACATCTAAAAAAACACGATGCCAGGCAGCCTGGCATTGTAAATGTGTACTGACATAGTTGAAGGCCCAGCCATGACACGATTTCCCTTCTTGCTCCGTTCAGCATTCCGGCTATGCTACAACGCCGCCGCACCAACTGCAGCAGAGAGGCAACACCTGTCTGAGATCAGCCCTTTTTCAAAGGCTGTAAACGGAAACCCAAAAGATGCTTTTCTCATGAGTCTTGTTGAGCCTCCACGTTTTCTTGCTGTACTCAGTATGACCGCGACCGGGTGTTGGGAAGCAACTGGTTTTGGGGATTCCTGATAATAAGGAATCCCACCAGTTCCTGTAACAGCTAGGTCCCCCAGTACCTTTTTTTGGGGGAGGGTTCTCCTACTAAAATAGACTACAGAAAAAGGGTACCCGTATTCTAACCTCTCTACTGGAGGACCTGGACAGGCTTTCAAGGTTCACTTCGGGTGACTGGATAGTTTTTCTCGGGGTCATTCCATTTCTCATTCCCTGCATCTCTCGCACCGATCGCGTTTTCGCGCCTGCGGGGTAGGAGATGTCGGAGGTGCTCAGCGCTGGGAGCTCCACGAGGTTGATGCCCATATTGGAGCCCGCGGCGTCCCAGCAGGGGCAAAACTTGTCGTAGGTCACCGTGCCTCGTTTCAAGGACTAAAAGGGCATCCGGGCACCGCACAGAACAAAAAAGAAATCAATTGAATTGGTTGAAAAGCGCCGACTTTGGGACAGACTTATTGACTGACCTGAAACTCCCACAAAGAGTCATTGACCCGAAGTCCGCATGGGATCGGGGCGCCTGTGCAACTTTGGGACCCCAGTTGCCACTTACTTGATCTTGGGACTGGCAAATGGGTGTGACCGAGGTGTGCTCAGTACTTTTGGATGTTCAACTAACTCAGCAAGTTGGTTAAAAAGTGGCTGTAACTGGGCTGATCGTCTCCTAACCATGGCTATTGCCGACTTAGTAAGTTGGTCGAGCTTCCAAGTACCCATCCAATGAAAGCAACTGAAGCCCATCTCCATGTCTCGATGTTTCGCCCCATCGGCACACGGTTGGGTTCCCAACGGGTGGACCTGGCACATCCCTGTGCAACTCGCACAGGTTAGGCATCTCTCGGCTTCAGACTCATCCATAAGTACTGGCCATGTGGGTATGGGTCAAACATGGGGCCCGAAATTGAACCTGGCACATGGCAACAGAAACCAAAAACCTGTGCCCTGGTTGTGACGACCTTTGCCCCGAATCTAGGCTGCCATAGGCTGCCCTCAGCTCCCCTGCTAAAAGTTTAGCTTGGGATGAATGAAAACCACCACTCACCCTCAAGACATAAAAAGCGAAGGGGATGGCCTTGGAGCCGGGGATGGCCTTGGAGCCCATGTTCTACCGCCCCCCATCGCCTTCATTGGTCTGGATGGCCGTCCCGGCGCCCCCGTCGTTGTCGCACTTGGGGTACAAAGCCCGGCACTCCGCCACCGTGACCAGCTGATTGGAGGCGGAGGGCCCGTAGCAGCCCACCGTGAAAGGCGCCTAAAGAAAGACGGAAAGCTATGCACCTCGGCCCTCAAACTACCCATGCAAAATAGGGCGATTGCACAAAAATTCTGGGGCGCCCGCCCCCCAACAAAAAACAACAGAAAGAAAAGGGAACAATGGTGGGATTTGTTCCTTTGTCTATCCCTCAAAACCAATATGCAAAATGTTACTACTCTCAACAAAAACCCGCCAGCGCTTCCAGGCACGCCATATTTACCACCCAAGTTTCACCCCCTAAAAAAAAGGGCGCCGCGCGCTATGCGATGCAAATGCCGCCGCCTTGTCTTGCACGTGGTAGTGGTACACATTGCCGGAGCTGTCGGGCGTCGGTCCAAAGTGCGCGCCGCAGGCGTCCAGCAGCGGCAGCAGGTTGTTGGCGTAGTCCTTCGGTTGGGGAGCATCTTGGGATGAGCATTGGAATGTCCCCAGCTTGTCTCCATGAAACAATCCAATGTAAGGGGCCCTAAAAGCATGCAATATCGGACAACTCGCCGATTCATCGGCTCTAAAGAAAATCCTACCCACCACCATGAGAAAGGCCTGTGTGGTGAAAGCAGCATCCGGGTTCCTGCAAGAACTCTTGGCATGAAAAAAATAACCATGGTTCTGAAGTGGCGGCAGACACTGCGCTCTTTCAGGGAGCCGTGAACATGTAGCTGGTGCGTTCAGGGAACATTCGGCAAACTTGCCCAATCTACCTAGAGTCTCCATGACCCTTTTAAAAAAGGTCCATAACCCCATTTATTTAGGGCAATGACCAACCATTTTTAAAGGGTCAGAAGGAGACTCTAGGTCCTTTCAACCTAGAGCTCGTGAAGGGCCGCGAAAAGGGGCCCCCAATGGTATGCAGGGTGCGTTGGGGACCAGGTTTGGGTGCCTTGCTGGCAAAAAGTCCGCTGTCGATGGGCAGTTGGCCAACCATTTAGGAAATAAAACACGCGTCATGTCTTCCCCATTGGCCCAAGAACAACCATTGCCAGGTATCTGGCATTGTTGCGTCCAACTTACCTCGCTTGAACATCCCTCGCATCTGAAGCAGTTCGTGTCTCCTCCCATTTGCCGTACAGGTTGTATGCAGCAACCTCAGCCCACATGCGGGGTGTACAATGCAGGGAGCGTGGGTCGTGAGTGGCAACAAATATCATTCTACCACATCAATAACTTGCGCCTACTAGGAGACCTTGAGATTTGGGACACATCGCTCAACTAGTAACTAGTAGTATGACTCTTAGATCTACTTCTCACTTGCCCAACAGACCCAGAAACCACAGGTATTTTTTGGGGTTATGACTAAATGTTGACCAACACGGGAAAAATAAAAGGCCAAAGGTCGATTCGCTTTGAACATCTGGGAATTACCGCTGAAGCGAATGCAGTTCATGCTAGCCAACCCGTCTGGATGAGACTGCCTTCCCCTTACAACATCACTAAACCACACAAATCAAGCCTGCGCCTTTGCCAAGCCTGCACCAACGCAACCACATGCATAGCCCCTGCACACCCCAACCACTTGGCTACCCATGCTAAGCACATCCAGATCAGTGTGGATGGCAGCAGGTGTGAAGCAGCATGTCACAAAAAGCCAGTTTCGTCAGAAGCAATTCAACTTGCAATCATTTGCAACCGATATGCTCACATTGTGGAGATGATTCAACCGTTGCATGAACAGATGCCAAAACAAAGCAAACAAAAGTCTATGGGTGGCAGCAACACATCACTCCATTTCCTTGCACTGAACCCGCAGCAAGCAAGCTGATGAATTGAAGGTGGTTTCAAGACCAATGCAAACATCCTTGTCAATGCACCCCTTGGTTCTGCCTCTTGTACCTTCTCTTGTGGGTTTTAACCTTTTTGTCTGCCTTTGTACCTGTTCTTTGTGGGTCAAAGACAAACAGAGGGGTCCTTCAAGGTTTGTGGCTTTGGCATAGGCGACGGGGCCGTCAATTCAAACTTGCCAAGCTGCAACGCCCACCTTGCTCGAGTGGCCGCCGCTCTCCTTTCAATTTGCCGGAGAGAATCGGTCATGTGGCTATGGTAGGGTCTTAGGGGGGGGGGGGGCGGGGAAACACGTTGAAGCCCCCCCCCTCCACAATTGCTGCTTCAACCATCTCCAACATCCCCTAGGTACCGAAACCAAAAAGCAGTGGTTGTGGGGGGGGGGGGCTGGTTGAAGCAAATCAATTCTTTTCAGAACGCGTTCTCCGAAAATACGGATCCTTGGAATAAATGGGAGTGTTGAAACATTTGAAACTAAACAGACGCAGCCTCTTGCCACAGACCATAAAAGCAAATTGAACGCGGCATCAGTACAAGCAAGTTGAGCTGGAGTTCTCAAACCTCCTTGCCTTCGTCAAACGGTGCCCTTGGCACCTCGTCTTTGCGCGGATTTGAGGAATCCGCAACACCCTTGAACCAAACCCCAAAACCGTTTTCCAGGGGGCACTGCGTTCTTTTGGCGAACACACTGTCAGCTTGAAGTCAGGGACGCCTTTCTGGGGTCACGGACACTTAAAGTTCATTTTGCAACACCTGCGAGAAACCAATATTCTAAACAAACCGGTTGCAAAAATAGAGAACCCTGGTAGGATGTGTCGCCCTCAAAGGGGTCACCAATCAAACAAGCATGGGGAGCGGATGGTTCCTGGATTGGATGGATCTGCCAGATAGACCGCAAACACCGAAAGCAACACTGGGGGCGGGGGCAATTTTTCTAGTCTGCCACACGGAAGCGGAAATGCGCCATGGGGATAACTGCTTGACCCACGATTGTTGATTCTAGAACTATCATTATCGTCCCACTCGTGTTGGTTAGTGCCGTTTTGGTGGACACATGGCATCCACGTCTGTTCTATTCTTCTGCAGCGCCCGTGTCACGAGACGTTGCAAAGTGCTACTCAACTTCCTGCAAAGTGGATTGTTCCCACCTCCAAGCTGATCAGAGAACCGTTCAATCCATCATGGCCCAGGTAGATGAGAAAAAACCACCAGCTAAACCAGGGGAACCCACCTACTTGTCTACCAAAAGCCACCAAAAAGCACATCTATGGTTCAATCGGTTGTTCAGTGACCCTGGCAAAAAAGGGGAGCCCGTCTTTGGGAAGACCATTTTAGTGGGGCAGCCACGAAAAAGGGAGCCAACAACTGAGGTTCAGTCGGTTCTCTAGCTCTCTCTCTCTGCGGTCGCCTCGTACAAGCACCCGAAGCCCCGGTGGAAGTGGTAGTCCCCCGTGTGACCCCCACAGGGCCCCACGATGCCGATGTAGCTCTCCCCCTCGATGCGGGGAAACCTCGAGCCGCAAGCTCGATTCCAACAGGGCCACTGAAAAACCGGCGCGCACACGCACACACACGTGGACGGGCCTTGAATATGTATCAAAGTGGAAGTCCCAGATTTGGCGGTGTTCCCTTTGGTTTCCCTTCAAACTCACGAAAGAAGGGGTATCCTCGAAACAATGTCATCTGCGATGATTGGGGGTTGGTTGGGGAGTTGTCAGGGTCAAGGGGGATCTCGTCGTTTTCTGTTGTGAAACAAACGACAACATGAAGCAACGGCTGGCCACAGATGTAACCCAAGTGTCAGCTTGGCGAGGGAGCCCCCCGTCGGTCTATTTTAGAAAATGGGGTCTTCCAACTTGGTCTATGTTAGAAAATGGGGTCAACCAATCCAGACTGAGAAATGTCTAATCTTAGAAAATGGGGCGGGCCAACCTAGAAGCCTTCCTGACCAGACCCATTTTCTTTTATTCGCCATTTAGGAAATGGGGGTTGCCAACCCCACCATGGGAGGTGACATCCCTAGAAAAAACAAGCTGAAAATGGGTTTAACCCCCCCCCCCCCCGATTTTCTAAATTAATGTCGAACCCGGATTTTGAGCCACACCCTCTTATTGCTGCCCTGTTGCTGGATGCTGCAGGCTTTGGCGACGGCCGCCTCCGCGATGGTGAGGTCCTCAGGCGATAAGGCTTCAAGTACTGGGGTTAAGGCCGACCCACGATATTTGTGTCCCAAAAGGTACCTCATATCGGCTGACTTCAGGAATTGAAAAAACAAGTCTCGGGGTAACTTCCATTTCCATTCTTCACCTAAAAAATCCGGATCTTTCCGGAAAACCACCACAAACCCTGGGGAAATGGATCCCATTCTTTTTTTGAGAAGAAAGCGATGGATGAAAAATGACGAGACATCCACGCCTGACCTGTGGATGGTCGCGAAATCCATAAAACGCAGCACCAAAGAAAGCCGGGTTTCTGA